CAGAAGTACTTTTACGCTCCACTCTGTCTCCAGCAAAGTCAGCATCGCAGTAGCCTACTAAACTGTAATCACTAGATTTTCTATAAAACAAACCCAGATTAGTAGTACCTTTCAGATACTTGAAAATTCGCTTAACAGCTGTTAAGTGAGATTCTCTAGGATCTGATTGGAATCTAGCACAAATACAAACGCTGAATAATATATCAGGTCTTGAAGCAGTCAGATAAAGGAGAGAACCAATCATACCTCTGTAGACTTTCTGTTCTACATTTTTGCTTACCTCTTCTCTTTCCAGAATGCACGTGGGATGCATTGGAATCTTTGATGGCTTACATTCTGAGAGGTCAAATTTCTTCAGAAGATCTCTGATGTATTTGCTCTGATGAATGTAAGTTCCCTCTGGAGTTTGATTGATCTGAATTCCTAGAAAGAATTTCAGTTCCCCCATGAGGCTCATCTCAAATTCTGCCTGCATACACTTAGCAAATTTTCTTCCAAGAGAAGGATTAGTAGAACCAAAAATAATATCATCAACGTAAATTTGACAGACTAAGATGTCATTCTTAACTGATTTACAGAATAAGGTAGTGTCCACCTTCCCTCTGGTGAATTCATTTTCTAACAGAAAGTTACTTAGCCTTTCATACCAAGCTCTGGGAGCTTGTTTCAGACCATATAGTGACTTCTTTAGTTTGAAAACATGTTCTGGATGTTTTGTATTTTCAAAACCAGGGGGTTGGTGCACATAGACCTCTTCTTCTATATAACCGTTTAAGAATGCACTCTTGACATCCATCTGATACAGAGTGATGCCTCTATTAACAGCAAATGAAATTAAAAGTCTGATAGATTCTAACCTGGCGACTAGAGCAAAGGTTTCTGTATCGTCTATCCCCTCTTGCTGACTATAACCTTGTGCAACCAGTCGTGCCTTGTTTCTGATGACTTCACCTTGTTCATTTAGCTTGTTTCTGAACACCCATCTTGTTCCAATGACGTTGAATCCTTTAGGTCTGGGAACGAGATCCCATACGTCATTTCTGGTGAATTGATTCAGCTCTTCTTGCATTGCCAGAATCCAGTCATTATCCAGAAGTGCTTCATCAATAGAAGAAGGTTCAATCAGAGACACAAGTCCCATGAGTGTTTCTTCAGAGTTTCTGAAGCTTGCTCTTGTTCTGATCGGATCTTCCTTTCTTCCTAAGATAGTTTCTTCTGGGTGATCCAAGCTGCTTCTGGGTAATCTCTTCTGAGGTTGATCAGCAGCTGTTGTAGGATTGCTAGCAGTGCTCCTTTCAGATGTTGAAGGAGTGTCTGTATTGAGAGCTTCTGATAACTTGTCTTCAGAACCTGTAAATTCAATTTCCATACCTGCAAAAACTTCATTCTACAGTTCCAGAGCCAATTATCTTTCCCCTCTGATTGCCTCCAAAGCCAACGTGGCCTCCAGGCTTAAGTTCTAGGCTTTGGAACATATGCCTTCTTCCCGTCATGTGCCGCGAGCAGCCAGAGTCCAGGTACCATGACTGGTGTTTCTGACTTGCTGCTAAAGATATCTGCAACATGTATTATTTTATCCTTAGGTACCCAGATTTTCTTGGGTCCTGATTTGTTAGTTTTACCAAAACTCTGGTTGAATTTTGGTTTCACAGAGTGCTTACTGCTAGTGTATTTAATATCATGTGTGTGACCATACACAAAATGTGAATTCAGAGGAGTGTGTTTAATGGTTAAGTCCATGACATTCTTTGGTGTAGGAACCTTACCTTGGTATCCTATTCCTTTCCTGCCGTTTCTGCTAACTCCATAGATCATTGAAGCCATTTTGCTTCTATCTATGCTTTTAGCAAGGAACTTCTGGAAACTGTGATCATACTCCTTGATGATCTCATCAGCGTTGCTGGGAGTTTCAGAAATTGGTTCCTTCTAAGATTTTTGTAAAGTATTTTCTAATTTTGAAATCTTATTTCTCAGCTCAAAATTCTCCAATTTGAGACTCTCAGTCTTATTAGAGTCAGATTCAAGATTCCTTTTCAGGTCTCTGAATTTAACTCTAATTTGCTGATACCTTTCCAGAATCTCATTAAGGCTTTCAACAAGTTCAGCCTTGGTAAAATTAACAGCAAAGTTAGGAAATACCTCTTCAGTATCTGATTCTGAGTCTGATTCAGAAGCTTCACTATCTTCTGAGATGTTAGCCATGAGAGCTATGTTTGCCCTCTCATCATCTGATTCTGAGTCAGCTTCAGACGAGTCAGAGTCATCCCATGTAGCCATGAGACTTTTCTTCTTTTCTCTTCCAAACTTCTTTTTGGGCTTTTCCCTCTGAAGCTTTGGGCAGTCACTCTTGTAGTGTCCTTGCTCATTGCACTCATAGCATATGATGTCCTTGGTGTTTGGCTTTTTGCTACTAGAGGAGCCTTCAGATCTTCTGTATCCAGAGGAAGAATCTGTTCTTCTGTATCTGGAAGAGGACTCGTTCTGATCAGATCTTCTGGGATTCCTGAACTTCCTTTGTCTTTGCTTCCACAGTTGATTTACTCTTCTGGAGAGGAGGGAGAGTTCGTCTTCTTCTGATGAGGATCCATCAGATGTTTCTTCAACTGCCTGCAAAACTTTAGACTCAGATTTTTTGTTAGATTTTAATGCTAAAGGCTTACCTTGCTTCTGAGGCTCGTCAGCTTCTAGCTCTATCTCATGACTTCTGAGGGAGCTGATAAGTTCCTCCAGAGTGATTTTGTTGAGATCTTTTGCTAGCTTCAGAGCTGTAACCATTGGTCTCCACTGCTTGGGTAAACTTCTGATGATTTTCTTGACATGGTCAGCAGTAGAGTATCCTTTGTCCAGAACCTTGAGACCAGCTACCAGAATCTGGAATCTTGAGAACATTGTTTCAATGGATTCAGATTCTTCCATTTTGAACGCCTCATACTTCTGAATGAGCGCCAGAGCTTTAGTTTCTTTGACTTGAACGTTGCCCTCATGCGTCATTCTGAGTGAGTCAAAAATGTTCTTTGCTGTGTCTCTGTTGGAGATCTTTTCATATTCAGTATAGGAGATGGCGCTGAGGAGGATGGTTCTGGCCTTGTGGTGATTCTTGAAGTCACGCTTTTGTTGGTCAGACATTGTTTTTCTATCAATCTTCTGACCGCTTGCATTCACAGGGTGCGTGTATCCATCTGTCACCATATCCCACATATCAGCATCATGTGCCAGAAAGAAGCTTTCAATTCTGTCTTTCCAGTAATCAAAGTTTTCTCCATCAAAGACTGGAGGTTTGCCGCTGAATCTGTCTCTGTCCTCATGGTTGTCATTGCTGGTGTGAGAATAGTGTCCTGCCATTGTGTTTTTCTGACGCTGGATCTTGTACTGACACGGTTAAGTGTTTTAGCTCAGAACCAGGCGCTCTGATGCCAATTGAAGTGGTGAAAAACACAAGAAGGGGGGGTTGAATTGTAAAACTGAAAATCAATGCAATGAACAAGATATTTTTATCCTGGTTCGTTTGATCTCAAACTCCTCCAGTCCACCCGTCAAGGTGATTTCGCCTCTCTCCAACGAGGTCTTAATCCACTATATTCAACTGAATATTACAAACTGCTTTAACAACTGCTAAAGCCTTCTTGATGCAAACCACAACCCGGTTCGTCAAGGAAACACTTTCTTACAAAGAAGATAAATCTAGGTGTGAATGTTTTCTACAAAACTGTATCACAACTGTGATGTATACACAACTTAAGCTTATGAAACTAGATTGTTAAACAATGATTGAGTACGAAGATATGTAGTGTTTAGAAAACTGAGAGAAGGAAGATTATGATCAGCTTTTAGGCGTGTAAAATGTTGGAGAGCATTAGCCAATTCAATCTTTATATTCTTGTTTATATAGCACTGAGATGTTGAACGTTGGAGCAATATTCTTTATTCAATGCTAATAACAAACTTTCCTTATTGAGCAGATCTTGTCTGGAATGAGGCCGTTGGTAATAATTTGCTTTCAATGCACAGTACCGTTGCTTACTTAATGCATGTTCTGGCTTGGCTCATTCTGACTCTGCTTAGCTGCTGATGAACTGTTGTTTTATTTATCAGAGTGTTGAGCGCAGTTCTGTTCATCAAGCTTCAGCATATACGTGAGTTGATCTTCTGATTCTGGTATTCTGATATAGCAACTTCTGATGCTGATGTCAAGAACCAAATTTCTGATGCTGATTAGGTGTGATCTTGCTTATACCTATCAGAGTATCTGCAAATCAGAAGTAATAACTTAGGCAGCAAATAGTTCATACATGAATCATATAAATAATATATCATTTCATTTTGTTATCATCAAAACTTAAACATAGGGATGTAGATTCAAACTTTGTTCTAACAGATAATTGTATAATAATGTCTATATTCTAGAGATATATATAGTGTTATTATTCACTTGGGTGTCTGTGATTAATGTCTCTGTGTTAGTTGTGTCGTGTTGAGAGATCGTTGACGCGAGTAGCACGGTTGACTTCTGTATTGAGGTTGGTTGAGAGATCGCCACTGCGATGATACAATGGGATTTGTGGTTGATACGTGATGACATTGATGAGTCTTATAGGTTAAGTATAATTGATCAATAGGTTTAAGTTTGTAAGGAGTGGATTATATGCATGCTTGATAAGTCTCTTCTTCGAAGAATGAATTTCTTTCTGTTAATAATTTTTATTCCCACACCTTACACATAAAACCCATTTAAACCTAAACTCATTAGCGAGAAATTGTTGAACGAAAATTTAGTAGCACTAGTCCCCGTGGAGACGATACGATATAACCTATATCACCCTAAAATGAATACTTACTTTTGCTTGTCGCTTTACAGCTTAAGCAAAATGGCATTGTTGCCGGGGATTGGTGTTTTTATTGGATCACATTATGATAGTTTCTTTGTTTTTGAGTTTTGTAGATATCGTATATATTGTAAATCTTCACTTATTTATATTGATACTTGTGAATTTTGTATACAGTATACTTGTTTGTATCACGCTTGTCAAAAGTGTGGTTAGGTGTATAGTTCTAGTTAGAGCTCGAAGAGATGAGAGCGAAGGCGGGAGTGAACGCATTTGGCCCATCTGAAGCAACGTTTTGGTTTGTAAATAACAGGCGTCGAGCTTATGACGTAAAGCAAGCATGTTTTATTATTTTTCAATGTTTTAGTTTAGATAGTATGGTGATCTCTGTTTAAACAAGTTGAAATTGGACCTGTTCTAAAATCTAAATTCTTCACTTTTCAACTTGTTTATTCAATTTCACCCGGTTGTTTAGTTATGTTAATTCTTTTGTTGATGTTTGGACTCCAATTTTGGACTGATGATTTGAAGTCACGTAAGGTGATTTTCCAAGTTTGATTGTTTCAACTTGCGGATGTATGGTAATGATAGTTTTCAAAGTTGGTACACGTCAAGTACTTGTTTATCACTTTTTATAGCATAACATGTTTATGAAACTTTTAATTTGTACAATTACTATACCATTCATTCTTTTTACATTACGTGCTTTTAATTGAATCACTTTAGGCACATATGCTTGTCTCTGAGGCGCGGCAACTGGAATTGTCACAACAACAATTTGGTGATCAGACACCTGACGAGCCCTACCTTTATCTTTTCGATCATAGAATGCACTGGCCTCACTGTCTTTCTTCTTCTGGACACCACCAAAATATTTCTTCGCATTAGCGGCACTAGAGACATCCTGAATCTTTCCAAGTTTGATCCCGATTTCAGTTCTCTCCCCGTATGTCTCCATTTCATAAAATGAATCAGAGGTACTATAGCTCGTGTAATACTTCCATTTAAAGTACTGGTGAACATATCCACCATCTCACACTCCATCATGGGTGGTTGGACCCTGGAATCCATCTCACGCCACCTCTGCACGTATTGTTGAAGGATTTATTTTGTTTATGAGATAAGTTCTACATCTGAGTTCTCGTGGGTGCCATATTAGTATTGTATTGGTAGTGTTGGAGAAAAGCTTCAGCCAACTCTCTCCATGTACAGATATGAGTACCACCCAATTGCATATACCTCTCAAGCGATCCACCAGTTAGACTGTCTTAGAAGAAATTCATAAGAAGATTTTTCATCGTCAGAGTATGCATACATCCTCCTATTGTAGGATTTGACATGGTATCTAGGATAGAAGGTATCCTTGTACTTTAAAAAATCTTGCACTTTAAACTTTGGAGAAATCTCCACTCCTGGGACCAAGCCCAAATCAGAAACGTCAAGGCCCATAGCACCCTGAGTCTCAAATGTTCGCATACGCTCCTCGAGCATACGCAACTTTTTGTCTTCCTCAGTTGGCTCATCAACATTGGACATCCAATTATCATAATTATCCTCCTCAAGTTGACGATTAGGAATGTGCACAAGCCTGGGTTGAACAAACTGTTGCTCATTGTGTTGCCGAGTAGGAGTGGGTGGAGGCGGATTGCCCACGACTTAGACCACATGCATACCTTGATTACCAGCAGGATTACCAAGATTCACAACTTGACCATTCTGAATATTTAGACCAGCATTTGCATTCAAACTCAAATTCTAAGCACCACCTGGATTTCCATTCATATTCTGACCACCATTCGAGTTTTGAACATATTGGTTGCCATTCAGATTCTGAGCACCCGAGTTACCAGTTGGATTGTAAACAATAATCCCTTGAGGATTGACAATCAAAGTCTCATTCCCATTATTCACAGTCTCAGCATGCCTCACAATCAAGGCTCTCATCTCTTCCTATTGACAACCATATTCTGGATAATCTCCATCAGCTGGTCCACCTGAGTGTCCATTTTGACACCCATAACAACAACGTCTGCCTGAATTTGTTCCATTTGTCTTTTGGAAGTACTCTGAGTGTTGTAACAATGTGAGTTCGTAGTAGCAATATCTGAAAAGAAAACCAAGATCAAAGATAAGAAAACCCATGGGAACCACCTATCATGATATGATATACATGAATGAATGATTATGCATGAAATGTTTTATCATTTCCAGGGCGCTCAAGAATTTTGTCAAATACATAAGACATTAAACAACATGATAAGAGATAGACAAAATAAAATAATGAGCAAAATAACAACATATGCTTTCATTAATAACATCCTAAGTCAACTTAGTTCATACAAGATAACAGTCAAAATACGACAACCTCGACCAACAAGCCTGACAGTGGTTTTTTATAGAAAAATGAAATAACAAACAAACATCAAGTTCCACATAGTCCGGAAACATCATCTCCCCCATGGATCTTGAGCCAAGCAATCTTTATGATGGCATATGTCAACTGAGTACCACGCTCCTTGAGATGAGCCTCTACTGCAAGTCTTTGGTTGACTTCTACTTTGAGCTGAGCATCTTTGTCTCGAAGTTGCTTCTCAAGATCTTTGATTTTGGCTTCGGAATACAACTCCACTTCAGACTTAGACACCTGGAGGATGTTTCCATCTCGACAACTCTTCTTGTACCCCTTCTCAATAGCAGCAATAACTCTTTTGTGGTCTTCAAAAACAATAGAATCGTCTTCAATTTTGGATCTCTTAAAAGCACCAGCTTTCTCAGAATCTTTGAATTTGTGGGATAAATCCTTCTTATCTTCCGTTAGAAAGTAAAGCTTCATCTCTTTATCTTCCAAGTCGATGCAAAGATGTCGATTCTCGCTTTACATTTGGTAGAAATGTTCTTTGGGAACATCATGCTGCAACTTCTCAGGCTGCGGGTACACGAGATCTTCCTTTGTGAACAGTAACCGAAGTGTTCTCGCCCTCTCTTCAACCCACTCAATATAAGGTCCATAGGATGTCAGTTCCTTCTGCCCGGAGAAATCTTTACCTATTCTGAATATCTTTATCCAAGCAATCACTACCCTCTGTAGAATCTTAGGATCTTCCCCTTTCTTGCAAAACACAGATTCACTAATTTCATTGCTCTTAGGAGGACTCCGCATAGCATACCCTAGCTGGCGTAGGGAAAGAACTAGGTTATAGTTAACCACTCCCCATGTCCCCATGAGAGGGATATTGGAGAAGCCTTCACAACTGGTAATAATTGCAGCACTATCAAGTCGATGCCTATACCAAGTTATATCAAAAGAGGTGAGAGCCATGAGCTTTGTGGCCCAAGTACGAGTGTTTTAAGTGTCCATGAATGGTCCTTTGGTAGGAAACTAATACATGAACCATTTGTACAACAATGACATGCAACACACCATAACTCATTTATTACCATACCTAGAATGGATAACAAATTAAGTATTGGCTAAGATGGTCGGTACTAGATTCAGATTTATGAATACGCAAATAGCTTCCAGATCTACCAACTTCTCAACATCAGGGAAAATAACTAGGACATAAATCAAAACAGCTAGTAGAGCGTTGAACTTGACCCACAAATGCTTAGTTGCCATCTCTTTGGCTTTGCATACCATAAAATCCACAGAGAGACCACTGGTTGTAGCTCTCTTCCTCCAATTTCTTTTCACATCGCTCAGGCTCAAATAAATTGCCTTAGCGATAGCTTCATAATTGGGCTTGTCTGTAACACGGGCAAAGGGAATATGATTAGTGACTTTGATCCCCAAGATATAAGGATAATCCTCAAGATTCGGTGCAAGTTGATAATTCTGGAATGTGAAATATCGCAGTGCCGGATCATAGAATTGTAACAAAGTGTGAAGAGCTTTATCCTCCTCCTGAACATCCAACAAGGGAAAAAGATCCTTGTACCGTTTGATAAAAGCTTGTGAATTTGAATAAACCACCGCCCTACTAAACTCTTTCAAACGAGGCCAACTGGAAATACCAAACTTGTAACTGAAAACATCTTTGTTGTCTCTCTTGACAACATCATGGTTGTTTGCCATTTCTGATACATACATCTACTCTGAAACACCCTGGAAATGAAATACAAATGTAGGTTAACTATTTTAGACATATACATTTTTTACATTTATTTTGTAAAAGTAAATATGCCATGAAGCAAGGTGTAATTACACATGGAATCAAGGTATCCAACACTGAAAATCTACTGTACTGTTTCTGGATGTGCCAAAAATACCAAGATCAATATTTCAGAACATAAACCATAGAAAACCAAGTCACCAACGAAACACAGTCACCAACAAAACAAGCCATCATCAGAATAAAGTCACTATTTGTACCTGTAAAGATTATCCCATCCCTACTCACGGATAAAGACTAGGTCAGGGTAAGCCAATGGTAACTCAAAATCATGGGTTTTCCTGAAAGAACTACCATTAAGCCACATACATGGATGACGATAACACCCCATTTGAACCTCATATGAGCATAGATGACATGACCGTGCTGGTAGGACCTTTCTCCAATAGTTGTCATGTTCTAGTCTATTCCTAGGTTTCCTAGATAATGCACTCTGGCCTGGGTACTGGGCCTTTTACCTCAATAGTAACACCCACCCAACATGGAAACACAAAATCCAGCACATCAAATAACCAATATGGAAAGCGATACAATCCAATGCAAAGATATGCTCATATAATCATACAAAAATGAATAAACTATAAAGCATTAAAAAAACCTACAGAAAAGAAAGCAAGATCTAGGAGCGACTCTAGGATGGACAAGAAATTGGTTAACCTTTCCTCATTGAAGTCGCCAGCTGAAACAACCGTCTGAACAAATCATCGAGATGAAATCAATGAAGTCGCCATCAAATGTTTTTTTATCCCACGGGAAGGGAAAGGTAAAAATTGAGTAAAACTGAGAAGGGTGAAATCAAGGTCAAATGACCGAGAGATTGGGTAAGGAAGTTTGTTACGCGAGGGGAAGGTATTAGCATCCCACACGCCCGTAGTGCTCTATGGTACCCACTTTTGTTGTTCTAATTAAAGGGTGTGTTTCAAATATAAAGCTTACAAGCTAAAAATAAATGCAAATAGGGAATGCACGCAAAAGAAAACACGGGGAAAAGAAGGAATATATAAAAAGTTTGGCTAGGCTGAACCCCGTGACCAGATGCTTGTGTATCCCTTTTAAGGAATCAGAGTGCCGTAGTTCGGATCATATGTTTCATTTTGTTTGTGTTTTTTAATGAACAACATTAATTTTACCTTCTTCTACAGCTCAACATTTGGAGACTCACGCGTCAGC